TAATGTTTAATGATATGGAATATATAGGCCATGTAAATCCTACATTATCTTGACGCATTGAATTACTACGAAACTTGTTTTCGCCTTTCCGATTTATATATGCGTATAATTATATGTATAAATTATTCCCGATTCGTAAGTAATTTGGTCGCGAAGCGGGGAAAAAAGAGAAAAAGTAATTTGTCGTAATTCGTCGTACAAAGTATAGTCTTAAGTTTTTAAATATGTCGCGCTTAAATTAATCGCGAGATTAATCTGATGCTGATTTAATTATGCGCTTTCACGCGCTTAAATTACATATTTACAACTGGATTTATCTGACCCGCTATATTGAATAAAACGTTAAATATAATATTATTAAATAGAAATTACGGAGGAGATAAATATTTTATATAAATTAAATATTAATAAAAAAATTGGACTGACTCTTCCCCTCCCTCTCCATCTCTCTCTCGATTCTGCGACTATGCGATTCTATGACGATAGAACGATTTCAAAAATTAAAAACTATTAAACCAAGAAATTAGCGGTGCGCACGTCGACGTGGGTTTTGTAGAATTACGTCAAACGTTGGAAACTGTATGACTCATCTCTAGCTACGTGTGCCTGCTATCTATAAATCTACGCAAAACGGCATGCCTATCGCACTCTATTTCGTCATTCTGAACCACGGGATTCTCTTGACGCGGGTCACAAATTTCAGGGATCGTCGAATCGATCGACAGATAAAGATCCCTCCACGCGCGGACCGATCTCCTGCCGCGTGATTTAAATAATTTCCACGATGATACGCGCATGCTGCCTTCCCCTTTCGCGAAGTTGCGAGGAATTATGCCGCCGAGATGCGCCGTTTGCTCCCAGGAACAATGCCCCGGGGACAAAGTGGCTCGAAACAAAACGCCATAACGAGATACGCCGTGGGAATATTTCGTACGCGAGGCGTACAATTCGTTACCGCCGGTATTCCGCGGAATTCCGAGCGGAGTCCGCATTGTGGCCCAAAGTAGAGGCGGTAGAGACAAAGTAGAGCGGTAGAGAGAGATTAGATCACAAACAAGTTCACGACGTGTCGCGAGGCAGGACGAGGCGAGAAACTCGCCCGTAGGTTAGAGCTTTCTAGTATTTAGGCTCACTAAATATAGCACGCGGACTCGGCTATAAATCCCAGGCCCCCGGTCTCTCTCGCTTGCCGTAGCGACGTTTTCCTTCGGATGAACGTTTCGCTTGGCGACGAAGGTTGTATCCGCTGTAGTACGACATACGACATGAGGGGGTAAAGGGTTGGGAAAGTTATTTTTTT